ATTAAATAGAATAATTAGCTTAAAATAAAGAGGTTATTTTGTCTTATGTCTTTATCATAATCCCCTTATATCTAAATTGGATTAAAGGATACTTTTCCTCCATGCCTTTTGGAAACCATAACAATTAATATAAACACAATTCTTTGAGGTATTGTGAGTATGTGCACATGATTTATATACAACAATATTGTTAACCACAGACTTGAATTATGCTGCAGTGTACATCTTACACTACTGTGTCAGGTTATGATGAAGGTTGGTGCCTGTTTAAACCCACTGCATTTTTATGCACCTGTCCTAAGTCAGGAGCCTGTTGTTCAGTGGTTGTCATTTGTTGTTGTGGTTCATAGGTGTTTTTCGTTTCTCATTTTTTATATAGATTAGAGCGTTGGTTTTCTTGTTTGAATTGTTTTACACTAGTCATTTTTGGGCCCTTTATAGCTTGCTGTTTGGTGTGAGCCAAGGCTCTGTGTTGAAGGCTCTACTTTGACTCAAGTTGTTAATTTTTTATACACTGTGACTTGGATGGAGAGTTGTCTCATTGGCTCTCATACCACATCTTCTTATTTATATTGGTTGTCTAGTCAATCTTCATTAAAGGAAAGAAAAAGACTTCAAATTGTTGGTAACAAATATTAACCAACATTTAATTTGGACCTAATAACTTGGCAAAACTTCAAACAAGCTACAAGGCATATGGTTTTTCAGCTTAATACTTATTCTGATAACTAGTGTGTGCACTAAGAGGCTTTTATGTGTGTTTTTCTTTCAATAGATGGTCTAGAGAGACAAAAGAAGAATTTTGTGCACATGAAAAACTGGTTTAACCCAAACACATTTTGGGTGTGCACCATGTCATGCTATGTGGATCATGTGTTGTTTGCTGTGTTTATCTTTGTTTGTATACATTTTTCTCGGAGGAGTTAGAATTTTCGTAAGATTGGTTAAGTTTATATTTTTGGTAATTCATGCATTCTTTTTATACATCATTCAATAATAATGAAAGAAAAAGAAAGTATAACCAAAATACCAAACTTCAAGGTACATTACAAAAAGTGGATGTCAGTAAAAACTGACAAATCAAACGTTATCAACCAACAGAACAAATGAAAAACATATTCCTGATTTGGTACAGGCATTTTCTAGCTAGCTAAATCTCCCAATTGTGTGACATTTGTTTATAATTCCGTAATATTGACAAACTTGGGATCCAGCAGCCCAAACTTTACACATAGATCACGGACATAGAACACAACTGACTAAAAAATTTAAAAAACATAGAAATATAGAGTGTGATACGCAATTTCTCCACTTGAGATGGTTAAATTTTCAAATTCAAATACTTAAAATCTAACTGTCTCGAGTGAAGAAATATTGTATTGCACAAAATTTTGAAGTAGAATTTGTTTCCCTCAAGATTTTTAGACGATATGCAGACAAACATAGTTCTTCTTTTCCAACGAACTGCAAAAAAGATTTGCTCTTTCTATGTAATCTCATCAGACATTGTGACCTTTATTCGTAAAGTCACAATAGGAAATTCTGAGGAAAGCAAGAAAATTTGACGTCATAATTGAATTTTGACCAATGAAGAAAAGAGAACAAACCAACCACATGTTGGGATTAAATAAAAATAATCAACAGGTCGGGAAAAGGATAATCAGCTAAGAATTAGAGAAATAAATCTAACAAAGACACCAACAAAATGTTGATGTAGTAGATAGTAAATTTGAAAAAGATGATGGTAGACAGAAAAAGATGTCAATAAAAAAGTTTTTGCAGTTGATAGCACATACAGTATATAGTATACCCTTTTTCAATAATGTATATATTAAGAAAAATATAAATACAATGTAAACAAAGTGGAAACAACACTGTAAAAATCTCTTACTTCCAATTTGCACCTCAGTACCGACCGTCACCAGGATTTCCCAAAGTCAAAAACATGATAGCGAGATAAATACCTAATCACATAAAAAGTCATACGACCAAAAGAAACATACTAGCATGAAGACAAATAAAGGGAAAAATGTAAAGTAAATATAAAGATACACTACTTCAACACATAGAATCTATATTTAAAGACCATCTTGTATTACTTGTATTATTTGTGAAGTAGACACTGAATATTTGTCTATTAAGTCTTGGTACTTTCCAATGAACTTTTTGAGAAAAAGGACAAGATATTCTTTGACAAAACCCTGAGCCTGGGTCATTAATTCTTTTCTCAGACACTGATGACATTAAAAATCTAAGTAGCAGCTGCAAGCTCTTAAATATCGTATGAATTGAGAAATGTATACTCCATACCCGGGTAAGTTGGTATATTGCTGCAAAGGTGAGGAAAATATGTAAAATCGTCTCGTTTGTCATAGATTCTGGTACTGAGATGACCACTGATGAAAAAAATGAAAACAACAAGTTATAAATTTAATGTGCCTGAAGCGCTTTTCTGGATTAACCTTCATCAGGAATGCTCAAAGCCAAATATTTGAAAGCCAAGGATATATAAATCCAAATGAAACACACAACAACAAAAATTATACTCATTTTTGTCACAAGAAGAAGATGATATAAACTCAAACCAGTTGAGAATGAATAGGTAATCAGTGACCTACTTTCAAACAGATGCTGATACTAGTATATATATATATGCTCACTAAAATGGAATTTTTCTCTTTTCCTCTTAAAAATAGCTTATTTTTAGGGCAGATTTAGGGGGGCAGGGGGAGCTACATATTTGGTTAATCCATAGACATTTTACATGTTCCACTCCTGAAGTCGCCTAGTTTGGGAGCTCCCCCTTTTTCAAAATCCTGGATTGGCATCTGATTTTTATCTTGAATACATAGTACTGCATTAAAATCCATGAAGTATTATGCAATCAGCATTATACTCTTATATTTTTCCTAACTGTATTCTTACTAGTAATATAAGCTAACATCAGCTTATTATCAAATTTCTTAACATTATTTAACTCATTTTTAAGTTTACTAAGTGCAGTTTTCAGACTTCTTTCCCTTCTTAAATAAATGTCAGTTGTGAATATATTTCTAAGAATAATGAATGAATATGATTGTAAAATGAGCATTCAAGTTATTTTTGGTATTTTATTACTGTACAAATTACTCATAGTATAGTTAAGAATGAGGACAGTCTTCATGATACATTTTATGCCCAAAAGAATGAACAATCTTTTGAGGATTATTTTGGCATTGAAGTGCAATTCTAACAAAGATCATGCAGAGGCAGATTCAATGACGCCCTCCTTTATTTGGAAAGTATATCATTTTTAGCATAAAATCGTCCAAAATAATTCCGCCTCGCTCCCCCACGCAGGATTATTACATAATTTTGACATTACACCACCCCTGTCATGGCATTTTCATAGGGCTTTTTTATATATTAATATGACAGTTCACAATGCCATTTTTAGCTTTTGAAATTCAATATTAAATAAATTGCTTCGCCGAGCACAGCTGGATATGACTGCAGAGGTCCAACCCTGAACAGTTGGGGCAAAAATGGACACAATATTCGTGCTTGATACAGGTCTGAATTTGGATTGTAATTAAATATTTGACACATAATAGGTTTCTGACACAGAATAACTGTAGTCAAAGAACTTAGAATTGGTTATATGATTTGAATTTATAATCAATTTTTTGCTTTTGTGCAATACACTATGCTGTTGCGATTGAACCCCATTCATCCCCCAAAAAAATAAATTACCCCCCCCCCCCCTTTTTTTTTGCTTTTGTGCAATACACTATGCTGTTGCGAATTGACCCCCTAAAAAAAAACAAAAACAAAAAATTCCCCCCACCCCTTCCTCCTTTTTTTTCAATAAAAATAAAATATTTGAAGAAATTATCTTTTAAATTTCTGAAATCTGAAATGAGAAAAAATTGTCCCCCTCACAATTTCTTTTTTACCCCCCCCCCCCCCCCTCAATTTTTTTTTCACCTCCCCCCCCAAAAAATCTTTCCCTCAAGATATGGTCATCTCAATTCAAATTTCCAATGGAGTTTGCAACCGTAATTACCCATTTAAATACATCATAAAAGTCTTAAAATAGAAATTGACATACATAATCATGGCTAAAATTAATATATTAAATATTCCTTAATCAGCATTTTTAAATAGTAACTTCTAAAAATAAATAGACAGCTAATCACCTCAAGACAATACAACATTTCTTTATACATAATTTAAAAGCAGTGTAAGGGAGGTAATCCAAACTTAACATTGTACTTTTTTTTGATTGTCCATTAACCAGGAAACCCTTGTTTTTCACCCTATTTTGCCCCTAATTCCTAAACAGTTTGAGCCACAACCCCCCAAAGCCAATCCTTACCATCCCTTTGTGGTATGGAAACTTTTGGTATAATTTCAGAGAGATCCATACATTGTTCCACAAGTTATTGTCTGGAAACTAGAAAAATGCTTATTTAGGCCCCTTTTTGGCCGCTAATTCCTAAATTGTAGGACTATAACCCCCAAAATCAATCCCAACCTTCCTTCTGTGGTTATAAACCTTGTGTTTAAATTTCATAGATTTCTATTAACATTTACTAAAGTTATTGTCCGGAAACCAAATGTCTTCTGACGACGACAACGTGATACAAATTTTGCGGTCGTATAAAAATTGATAAACAGAAATCATGCAATGAACTTAAATGATTTTTTTCATATGCAATAATAATTTACTTCACTATATACAGACTGTTTTAAAAAAATTAGTGAGAAAATTTATTCTCAATACAACATTGAAATTTATGATAATCCTAAAACATTTGAATTATACCTCTATCTTTGTTAAAATCTGCAACTAAACATTTCAACTTTTTTGATTACTGATTTTAATACTTGAAAACATTTTTTATCAAGATTATTTAAAGGTACATTTCATATCATATTACAAGCATACATGACTTATCTATCCTTGTTACCAAAATAGAAACCAGGAAGTACAATACCTGTGTGATATTAGTGGCAATTATTATGGCTTTCTCACAATCAGTTATAAAAAGTCAGGCTCCTGTAAGTTGTGGTCTATGTGAAACTGATAGACAAATTAAGTGGAAATGTTTGGAATGTAGTCTACTTATGTGTAATCATTGCAAGGAAAAGGTGCATTCAAAATTTAAAACTTTTCAGGATCATAAGATCATTGATATCAGAGAGATAGGATTGCATGCTGAGGAATTGGATTTTAAAAACATTAAGTGCAAAGAACATGCTGAACATAACTGTTGTCTCTTCTGTAAAACCTGTGACAATTTAGTCTGTCCAACTTGTGTGTCCAAAGTTCACAAGAAACATGACCTTATTGAAATAAGGGAAGGATATGATATGAAAATAGACGAACTGAAAAAAGGACAAACTAATATTCAAAAGGAAAAATCAAAAATGGTAGCTAAAATGGATCAGATGAACAAACTTACAACTGCAGAAAAGTCAAAATTCACAAAAGTAAGTCAAGATATTCTTACTCATGAAAAATCTGTCAGAGCTGCAGTTGATAATTATTTTAAAGGGCTTAAAAATGAACTAGATCAAGGTCATAAAACTGCTATGAAGTCTATTGAATCTGATCAAAATGCTGTGTCCGTTTCAATGAAGCTGGTAGAAGACAAAGACAATGAAGTCCAGGACTTAATTCAGATTACTGATGCTACAAAATTCTTCTCCAATGTCAACTTGATTGAAGAATCCTTGACAGTTCTAACACCACAAACCAAGTCAAGTTACAACTCTACACCAATATTTATACCAGGAAAGATCACACTGTCTAATGTTGGAGTCATACAAAGTGATCATACTCCATCAGCTGAATCAAATGTTGTTTTAAATATCAATAAACAATATCAAACAGAACTCAGTATGATTTTACATTTATCTACATCCCCTGACAATTCATTATGGATAAGTTCTCAATCAGATGGAGATTTACAAAAAGTTGAATTAGAAGGAAACAAGCTGAGAGTCATATCTAACTTCAACATTGTGCTCTATGGCATGGCAGTACTTCCATCTAACGATGTCCTGTTGTCCACAGGGAAAACCAAAGTCCAACAACTTAATATTACCACTGGCAAGTTAACAGACACTGTATATAATGTGGATCCTTTATTTTCTACAGACATCCACATTGTCAGTGATAATAAAGTAGTTGTAGGAGGTAATTATGATAAACTAGGAAGAAAAGCTGTATTTGTAATGAATGATCAAGGAGAACACCAGACTGTGTATGAACATGATCAGCATAATAAACCTATATTTACCTATACAAAGAGTATAACCAGTACCAGTAATGGGAATATACATGTGGCAGATTATAACACAGATAGTGACAGAGGTAGAGTGGTGGTGTTAGGACATGGAGGGGGTATAATCAATTCATATACAGGACATACAGATGTCAACAAGGACATACCATTTATACCAGTCAAAATAGTGGCAACACCAAGAGATAATGTCATTGTAGTGGATATGAACAGTAACTACCTGCATATTCTAACCAATGCAGGTCAGCTCCTTACATTCTACAACATAAAAGACATAGGAATAATATTGCCTTTCTCCCTAGCCTTTACACCAACAGGGCAGCTCTTCATTGGATGTACCAAACCTAAAGGGGCTACAACCAAGGAAGCCAAATTATATGAAGTCAATATATCAGGTTGTTAAACTATTGATAGAAACAATAAGTAAATAAGAGGCTGTCAGAGTGACAGCAAACCAGATTTTCCTGCATGAAAATGATATTTGCAAATCTTGACCCCCAAACAGGATCAAGTAAAAAAAAATATATATAGCATTCAGAAAATTAGTTTATACAGAATAACAAACAAACCTACCACAAAATTCTTCAAACAATTTACCAAAGAAAAGAAAAAAAAATCCAAAATATCATTTATCATTAATACAGTGTCTTTTAAAAATCTATAAAACTTATCTGTAATTATCTTCAAAATGTCTAATAATGAAAAGTAAATTTCAACTATATTTATACTGACCTACAGAGCTTATCATAAACAACACTTAGGAAACACAAAATTTTCAAATAAATCTGTCACTCCAATTATAATTTTGTGATTGATAATAACCACATGCTTTGTTATCTTAAAAACACTTAGTGTAATCAAACTTTATATATATAATTAATAGTTCACATTTTTTCTTTCTTTCATTTGTCACAAACTAATATCTGCAACTTATCTATCAATGTCAACAACTTTATCTAAACAATGTAATGTAATGAAATATATCCTTTAATAAAGATAGATTATTATCTAATGAAAATGATATTTGCAAATCTGGACCCCCAAACAGGATCAAGCAAAAATTAAACATTAACACACCCAACAAAAATAAAATACCACATAACAACTGTGACATCTACCTTCAAAACACACATGACTTAAAAAAGATAGCTATATATAAAGAAATTTTTGACAATACCTGACTGAAATCAATTGAACAGATACAATCATTGATAGACTATCTATCCATATACTTATTAATTACACCATTTCTGTTCAAAGGGAAATAACTCAAAATAAAAATAAATCATATAATAAATTAATATCACTTTTCGCTACTGAAAGGTCTACAACTCAACAACGAGAAAACTAAAATCGTGAAAATTGAACTTGACCTTCATTTAGTCACAGGAAAAAACATATCTAAATTTGAAAAGATTTCGTTAAAGGGTTTTCATGTTAATGAACGGACACTGTTTGGCAGCCGCCCGCCCGCCCACCGTACATCCGCAAATCAATAACCAATTTTTCCTTCGAAAATCTGGTTTAAAATGAACCATTAAACAGTGTTGCTTAATCATAATTGGTTCAAAAAATTGATAATTACAACTAATAAGTTATAATTTAATTTTGGATGTTACATGTCTTCTGATTGGCTGAAAGTGTTTTGTCTATCAGCTCATAGACATAATTTTGTCATGTGACAGTGAAGTCATCAATGTTTTTCTCATGATTTACTCCTTAAAAATAGAATTAAATTATAAGGAATGACTGTAATATTTTTTCTGTCTATTCGAAATAACCTCAGAAATGTGGTGCACACTTTTAAATAACCCGCAATACTATGTAACAAGCAAATATTACATTAGGCAAAGTTAAAAAAATTACTGGGTTATTTCAAATTAATCCAGAATTTGACTTTAGTTGATAACTATTCTATATCATAGTAGATCCTATGATTGTTAACATGACCATAAGATGTGTCATGATTTTAGTCAACTTTAGATTGTCTATCATTTTATTTATGAAAAATCAATAAGCTATACCAAAATCATATGCAAGATAATGTTTAATGGTACTGTTCTATGAAAATATTAGATACATAAAATGAAGCAAACATAATGACCTAAAGCCCATTTATTACACATACCCTATCTGAAGGTATATACTGTTTACAATTTTTTATTTTAAAAATTGAAATAAAATAAACAAACTTGTTTGTATATTTATGTATAAGAAGATATTGTTGCTGTAGGAAATGTACATACTAGGAGATTGGATATATACAGCATTTTTTTAAGTTTTGACATGAAGTTTATAGTTAAGGCATAAAGTTATAATGTTTGATTTTAAGATACAGCTGTTTAAGTTTAACAATCTCCTAATAATTTTTTGAACCATGTTCCTTATTTTAGAGATAAGCATGTTAATTTATTTATCCAGTGCATATTATTAGACAAATTTCAATTCTATATATGTTTTGGTTTATTCTTTCAATTAAACATGTTGATTGGAATCCATTAAACCAAAGTGCAAATAGAGATGTTCATAATAGTAATACATGTCATACTGTCATCCAGACAATAATTTCAAAATCCCTTTTCAGTGTTTTCTGTGCAGTAAATTTTGAAACAATCACAATATTTATTGTACAACAGACAAATTTCTTGACATGAAAAAAAAATTTAATGCTGCATTCAGAATGTATAGGAATTTTTTTTAGGTTCATCTGACCTTTACCTCATTTCATATTTCAGTAATTGAGTTTTAGTAATTAGGTCAATTTCTATGATAATTTTACAAATAGGTCATATATATTTGGTCAGACGTATATATGTCTCAGATTTGGTTTCTAGAATGGTTGTTAGGCAGGGTTCATCTGATCTTGACCTCATTCTCATGGTTCAGTGATCATTGTAAAGTGTTTGTGATAGGTCAGTTTCTCCCATAATATAATTAAAATCATTTGATTGTTTGCTTGCTTAACCTCCATAACTATAGGTTGCAATTCTGTAAATATAGACAATGCAATTTCCCATAGGAACTCCCCTTGCGGCTGAAACTGTGACACTTTTACTATGAAGTTTCGTGAAAAATAATATCCCAGAACAGAGAAGTTTATATGCACTACTATTTTATTCAAAGGTCAAAATATAGGGCTGTGCGGCATATTTTCAACATTTATATGCCCTGAACTTCTATGAGTTTAAACTTATACTAAAATGCTATACAACCCTTACCTTCATATTTGGACCTCCTAAGAATTAAAATTTAGGTGCTACCATGTTTTTCTGTACTGGTTACATTCCCAAGTGATGTCTCTATGAGATGAAACACAGAGATCATAAATGGGAACCAGTACATTATCAAATTAACATATCTATGAATATTATATATCTCCCCAAAAGAGGCGTGGTTTGAGAAACAGCTGTATTTACAAAGTCCAACCTATAAGTAACTTTAACTAATTGGCCAACTATATATGAGGTATACAGTTATTAAAAGGTGTACACGTGTGTCTGACAAGGTACACTTGAATTTTAACTTGTTTCATGGTTCATTGACCATCATTAAATTTTTGTGATTTAGTAAGTTTCTCTTGTACTATAAATGTATAACTAATAGATAACTATATTTGGTGTATAGAATTACTATGAGGGGTCATAATAAAGGTCATTATAAAATTCAGTCATAATTATAAAACATGCAAGACATTTCAGCATGTGTACTCTTGTTACAATTTTTGTTAACTTTCAACTCAACAAGCTGAAGATAGAATAGTAAATAAATGTATTTGTGGTAGTTGAATGATTTTAATGCTTGTCAAAATCATCAGTCTTGAAAATACCTACCAATTTATGATATTTTCAAAAGAAGCAATACTTATTAATCATCAATAGATCTTCACTACATCTTGTTGCAAAGGCTCAAAATAACAAGGATTTTTTTGAAAGTCTGAATTACATTTATTTAGTCAAAGTTTCATTTTATGTTACATGTTTTAAAGAAATACATGTGTCTATTAACAAATGTAAATTATCAATGTATTTAATAGTAAATTCATTTTGTTATTTTCTTTCAAAATATATTATTCCACATTTGTCACAAAAGGGAATATCTTTCATTTGTATAAACTATCTATACAGGGTTTACCACAGTATTTAATGAATGAATTTCTCTGCCATCAAATTTTCAATACCACCTCTGAACTACATGTATGTCAAATCTCCTTAAAATTTCAAAAAATATTCAGGATCACTCTTTTTGACATTCTAAGACAGCTGTAATTAGTATGAATTTTTATCCAGTTTACAATACATCTTGGGGCCTAGATCATTGAGTGGTCCAAGTATTTTTTTGTCAGTGATAACTAGCCTGAAAACTCTGGTGTTATGAGTAAAAACCCTGCTCATGGCAATGTGTGTTGGACTCTGGTATTAATTTTCAAGAATTGCCAGTTTTCTTGAAAACGGTAGTTCAGTCCTTGTACTGGCTTCCTCCACCAATAAAAACTGGCTCCCATGATAGTCACTTGTTTACATACAACAGGAAACTAGCTGATCACTGACTTATTTTATGAAAGCCTAATGAAAATTAAAGCTGACAAAATTGTTGTTTTTGATAAATGAATGATAATTTTCTGTTGTACACAAATGTACTGACTCTGGACATATATATTGAACAGTTATCTAGTTAACAATTATACCACATCTTCTTATTTTTCTATTGAAGAGTGTAAATATTTTGATAAAATATATATATCTTAGTTTGTTGTTTAATTTATGTGTTGCTGTATCTGATTGTGTTTTCAAATTAAGTTTAATTTCTATTTCTGTGTTCAATATTTTTATGATAATTCCCATTTTGTATTTTAACCTCACTCTGATTTATTTCCCTTTTTAAAAGCAGATATTTTCATAAGACTTGCACAGCAAGTATAAATATTCATTTTTTCAACAACAAAAATCGTATTACAACTCCATTGACATTCGTAATGTTACAATATGGCTATCCACCTTTATTCAACTTTCCTTAAAATTTTCCAATCTACAGATTCTTTCCAATGAGAGACTACTATTGCAAACTCCAGAAAAGTAAGACAAATTTGAGATTAAATGAAGACATGGGGTATTACCATTCAGCAATGAATCATTCAAATAAGATTTTTAAACAGATAATTCATAGTTTTGTATTAATCATTCAATTAAAGGTTTTGTTACCAAATAAGTATTCATGCATTTTTGTTGAACATGTTATATCCATGTGTATAATGCTGATTTGGGAGTATTCTATCTTAAATCATCCATTAACATATAATTAGCTATATCACAATGCAACTTGTGCAGTGTTCTAGCTAGAATCTGTGCTGAATATCATAGTCCAATAAAATGGAAACTTTTATTATATGCTTATCAAAATTTGACCATAATTTCTAATTTATCATATAACATAATTTGAAGCTTCATTGCAGTAAACTCAATGAAATCAAATTATCCAAGTCTAAAATAAAACATTCACAAAATGGTTACTTTTTGACAAAATCTATATTTTTATACCTTTTCTTTAAAAAAAAAGAGCTATTGATCATTCAAAGAACTAAAATGTTTTTGTCATGCAATTAATATTTTTAAAAACACTTTTTTGGTTGTTTGACAACACTTAATAGAAGTTAAAAGAAAAAAATGGATTAGTTTTCATTCGAGATCTTGTCAGGTGTTGAAAAAGTTATGAATTTGTCAATAAGGGAATTTAGTGTTGATGGTCATAATGGTAGATATTTGACTACTTGTCTTTACTTTGTTAGCAGCCCTCTAAATTTGGGCTAGTGTGGACACTGTCATGTAAATTGATTTATGTAAGTGCTTATTATACGCTATCTAACATATGCTTGCTTGTTATGTACACCTGTTTCATATATATTGTAATTAAATAGAATATTTAGCTTAAAATAAAGCAGTTATATTGCCTTATGTCTTTATGTCTTTATCATTATCCCCTTACATGATATATTACTTATACTTTTCAACTCCAATTTCAATTGACTAGGCTTGTCAGTTTTCCTACCAAAGGTTGGTTGTTCTCTCCAGGCACTCCGGCTTCCTCCACAAAGAAAAACTGACTGCCACAAATAGTGCAATAGTGCAGAAAATAGCAATAAACATCAAACAATCAATCAATTATACTTTTCCTCACTGTCAGTAGGAAATCATAACAATGCAAACAAAATACATTGAAGTTTTGTAAGTCTGTGTACTGCCTTTACATATGCTGTTTAGCATAAACTTGCAACATGCTGCACATGTACATACCCATTGCCTAGTCAATCTCCATTTAAGGAAAGAAGAGACAACAAATGTTGATGATGAATTGCTAATCTAATTACTTGGCAAAAAAACTACATATATGGTTTTGTCCATGAGTTGATAGAACACATCATTTCTTTTACCTTGTATCACTAAAAAATAGAAGATGATCACTACCTAAGTTCAATAGCTGAGATGAAAGACCAACCTACTGTCAAAGAGCAAGCATCATGACATTAAATGAGTGGCAAAAGATACCAAAGGGATATTCAAACTCATAAGTCAAAAACAAAGGAACAATGCCATGGCAAAAAATGAAAAAACAACGAAAAGATAAACAACAGTACACAAAAACATAACATAGAAAACTAAAGACTGAGCAACACTAACCCCACCAAAAACTTGTTAACAAAACCAAAAGAAGAAAACAGAGCTTATTGATTTGAGAGGTTAGAGGGTAAGCTGAGAAAGAAAGTTCCAAATAAAACAATTTCAATACAACACAAACATACAAAAAATGCAAAAAACAGCTAAATGCTAACTCTAGAATGTGGACTAATCGGGTTTGGTTTATATTGTGCTTTACTTTTACAATATGATCTAGATAGGTAAGAGGAGAAATTTGAGCATATTTTAATCTAGTTGAATTCACCACATTTTGTGCCTGTTCTATGGTCAGGTTTCTGCACCATGTGTTATTTGTTGCTGTTTGTTTAAAAATAAGGAGATGTGGTATGATTGCCAATGAGACCAACTATCCACCACAATTCAAATGAAATGGATGCAAGCAATTATAGGCAACCATACGGTCTTTAACAATGAGAAAAACCCATAACATATAGTCAGCTATAAAAGGTCCTGACATGAAAAGTATTAAACAGTTCAATTGCAAAAACTAATTACCTAATTCACACCAAAACAATTTACAAAAAAACAAATATGACAGACATGAACCAACAACAACCACTGAACTATGGGCTCCTGACTTGGAACATGCACATAAAGAATATGTCAGGGTTAAACATATTTAAAGGCACCAACTCTCCTCCTAACCTGGGACAGTAGTGTAACAACACAACACAAGAACACACTATATATCTATGCAAAACAATAAGGAAAAACAAATATGAGACAGCAAATTAGGACAACCACTCAATTACAGGCTCTTGACTTGGGACAGGCACAAATAGAATGTGGTGGGATTAGAATGCTAGAAGGTGCCAACTCTCCACCTAACCTCGGACAGTGGTGTAATGGCACAACATAAGAACAAATGTCTTTAGTTTCTCAGAGGAGTCAGAGTTTTTGTAGTTGATGTGGTTAATATTTTTGGTAGTTCGTGTATCCTTTTTATGCATTATTCAAAGAAGTAAAGGAAACATACAGTCATAAAGTTATCCTCATTTCTGTCAAAAGAAATCCGAGAAGGATAGATAAGGTCAGAGTGAACTCATTTCAATTGGATGTTAATCACTCATTAAAGTGAACTTACTTGTAAGTTTATACATATTAATTATTTATGACACAAATACCTCTACAATCTTGACAATACAAAAAGCAAAGAAAAAGCCCTATCAAATGCTGTTCTTCATCTAAAAATTACAGTGAGGTCTTTAATACATAGCAAACACATTCAACTCATTGCAAATTCAAGATGACTCTATTCACTGAAGTGCAAAATGCATTTTTTTTATACTAGTTTAAACATACAATAATACAAGTAGATTTTCACATATATCTATGCTAAGAGCACTCAAACAGTCCCTTACAATTTCACAACTGTGGAAAACCACTATTACCAAAAACAGAAAATTCAAACTACAACTACCTATATCAAAGTTGGAAGCAAACAAAGAACTGTAAATTCATAAATTATTGCATGCATTTATTATTGCGATTTTTGAAGAATGGACAAAAATGTGTGATTAACTATTGCGATTTCAAGAAAATCTGCATACAGATATATGTATCAGATATCTGAATGTGAAAATCACCAAGTCACATTATTCACATTAATAAAAACCTCGCAATAATTTCTGAATTTACAGTATATTTGGTAAATCTTTTTGTGTCTGACCCCAAGACTGGAGCCTGTAATTCCATGGTTTTTGATTTTGCTGTCTGCCATATTTGGTTCTTGTTTTTTGTTTGTAGCATTAATCACGTTGTTGGTTTTATCTTTTATATTGTGTCATTATTAGTTATGCTAGGTATTTTATAGTTTACTACACTGTATGGGTTTTTATCATTGTTGAAGGATATATTGACCAATGTTTGTGTCCATCCATGTCTGTCCTCAGGTCACTGGTTGATAGTTATATCAATGGCAATCATACTGCATCCTTATTTCTATAGTAACATTACTTAGGTTGATTAGGTATCAGCAAAATATGGATCATACTTCAATGATTTGTCCCATGAAAAATGTAACAGAAGTTATCACTTGGACTTAAATTACAAACTTAATCAGGTGGAAACACAACTGTACAAATGTTTTGATAACCTCAATATTACATACTGGATGAGAAATAGTACGGGGTAGATGTGCATGAGACCATCATCCAATGAACTATCATCCTTCCCTTTATATGTATCACCCTGCTCAGTCACTCAGTTATTTTTGTATGATTAATGCTTTCAGACATGAGCAGAACTTATCAGAGATGTCACAATGTCTGAAGAGAGGTTATCAGCAACATCACAATGTGTGAGAAGGCATTATCAAGCTAATCTTTGTCAAGAGTAATACTGTCTAACAGACAAGAATATGATAAACAGATTTAAGGGTTTTCTGCATATGGCTATTGTAATATATCAGCCCCTCAACATAATCTGAAGCTCTTTTGCTAGTTAGTTGTGGTTCACTCGCCAGAATGTGACCATCAAACCAAAGGAACTATTCATTAATAGCTGTTGTACAAACTAATACTGATGTAGTTGTAAAGAAAAACATTAATGCTGATTAGCTAATATGGTTGTCCTGAGGTTGATTGATTGTTTTTTGTTACATGTCCAGTGGCAAATATTCATTTGTATTCAGGATAAGAAATGAAAGTGAAAATGTATCAAAGCTACAGCTTCTTGGCAATGAAGCTAATTGACAATGAATTACTGTAAATTCAGATATTATTGTGAGTTTTTTTTTAAGCCAATAATGCAACTGGGTGACAATCGCAACAAATACAATAAGAACACACACTCTGATATCTAAAACATATATCTCTATGCAGCTTTTCCTAAAATCAGATGATTGATCTTGCATGTTTGTCCATTCTTAGAAAATCACAATAATAACTGCATACAACAATTTCTGAATTTACAATAGTATATAATGGTAATCTTGATGTAAAAACTCCCATGTAAACTTATGCAATGGCAGTAAAGGAGTTATGGTTGGCATAAGGTAAAATTCTTCAAGCAGAAGTTCTTAGTGCTATTCACAGTTTCAGCTGATTAAACAAAAAAATCAGCCACACAAAGAAAATTTTGACTATAAGAGAAATAATTCTAAAACTCAAATACGGCTTGATATCTACTCCTGAAATTTAGTTTCAATAGTAATGATGAATTTGACAGAGGACCTTGTGTTGCTTTTGTGAATGTGCCAAATGATTAGCTTTTTATTGCTTAAAACTTACTACATCTTCATTTATTTCTTACATTTCAATAACTACTACATATTCATTTATTTCTTACATTTCAATAACTACTACATCTTCATTTATTTCTTACATTTCAATAACTACTACATCTTCATTTATTTCTTACATTTCGATAACTACTACATCTTCATTTATTTCTTACATTTCAATAACTACTACATCTTCATTTATTTCTTACATTTCAATAACTACTACATCTTCATTTATTTCTTACATTTCGATAACTACTACATCTTCATTTATTTCTTACATTTCAATAACTACTACATCTTCATTTATTTCTTACATTTCAATAACTACTACATCTTCATTTATTTCTTACATTTCAATAAATATTAGTTAATACAACTTTAAATAGAACAATTATAATAAAATATTAATAGTAATAATCTAATCCCACTGATTAGCCTATTGTTACCCCATACAGATGCTGGTAAAGGCCCATAAATGATTATTTGTTTTTTATATAACATGATAGTTTGTTGCAACACCATGTGGTACATGTTTTAGCCAATAAAAAAACACATATTACATTAAGTATTGACATACTGTTAATATTAGGTATTGAGAGCTTAAATAGTCAAAAGGACCCGGTGAGCTAAGAGTCATTAACTCAATTCATCATTTGGCTGTCTGTCAGAAATATAGACTTTTAATCAGATATTAGATAATAACCTTAACATTACCAATTTTTATTGCATCACAAGGCATTTTGACAATTAATGTCTCTTCATAGTTTCTTAATGAGACCAATAAAAAAATCAGAAAATCTAAACTTTTAATTAATCCAGAGTCAACATTTAAAGGACTTTTTCAAATATATCATGATGGTGCTCTGGAGGGAAACATGTTATCAAAGATAAAGTACCACTTCCACAATAAGTTTCCCTTAAAAAACAGTGCACTTTTTGGTTTACTAACACTGATATAACGCAAACTATATGAAGTTGCACTCCATGTTTTGCTTAGAATACCCCAAATGAAAATATTGATAAACAGGAAGTGGTTGAAGATAAAATAAGAATGCTGATGTTTGTTTGCTAAGTATACCCCGATTCAGCCGTGTGACAAATCAAATAAAAGCTCACATGTCACAACTCATTACTCCTTACCAGAGTCATTCTGTTCTGTATTTCCTAATTATATAAGAAAAGTGTGTCAAAAATTTCAAGTTAATTCAACATTTTAAATAGGCAAACAGAAAGTAGGTGTCTGACAAATCTGAAAAAACTCCAATGTCAAGCTGCTGACCAAATATAATGTCAAACTGTACAGTAGTCAGGGCCTAATCTAGGATTTTGGAGAGGGAGAAGTGACTTCTCCTTCGTCACTTCTCCTTCGTGAGAGAGTAGGGGAAGTGAAATTCCATTACCGTTTGGGTTGTGTTGTGTTTCTTGCTTATCTAGGACATATACATTAAGGAAATTGATTTTATATACACAATAAAAAATATACCTGCAGCGTTTTATATGATACTGTATACATCAAAAACCCTTAATAAAACAGTATTGACGATGTAGTTGTTATTTATTCAGTCTTATTTTGTATTGTCAATTAAATGATTTGAATTCAAGTTTTAAAAAATTTGTTGATAGTATATCATGCGTAAACTAGTCTCATGTGCATCTACCTAAATTTCTTTTAAAAAAATACTCCCAGCTTGTATCTAACGACTTGTTTTTTAACATGAACTGCTTGAGAATGACTGAGCAATTTAATCAGTTTATATCACCACTTGTCACAATTTTGTAAAACATTATTGAATGTCCAGGACATCATGTCAGTTGTAATTTGAGATTCTTATGAGTGATTGTTGGTCAATAAATGAAGATATCTGTCCATCACATATTAATTAAATGATATAAAGCTAATTTTTATTAATTTTTTGATAAAAGATGTCTCTTATAAACAAGTTGGTCGTGAAAACAAACGTCCATGATCAAAAGCTGACCACACGTTGTACGTTTGCAAACAAATTATCCATCAGTAGTTTTTAATTTTAATTTTTCATATTTCAATTTTTATTCAATGAAAAACAAGAAATCAGCCATTTATTTCCCACACCTTAACCTACCAAATGGTAAAACTGATTCGTAATAAATAAAAGTAAAACAAATCAGCTGAGTGATTATGCTGCATCCTCATGATGAAAATCATCGTAAAATGATAACTCAAACAGTCCCTCTGTTTCCCATTTAAATTGTTTTGAATGTTAAATCCAAGGAGGTACAATGTCACTGTTGTATTTATTTCATTTAATCATCAACAGTATTGGTCCTTGGTCGTTTGGAAAATCTAGTTGCAACTTTTTTTTTTTACCTGTGTGACTTGTAAATCACAAGTTGTCTCCCTTACACCAATTCACCCCAGTCAGCTGGCAAGTTTAGTGATTTTCTAAAAAATTTTGGTAACTTAAATCGTCATTTCGCTGGCAAGATTATGGCCTGGTAGTACCTTAGATAAGTGTGAGGGAAAGTGATAGAAGAACAAGGGAACAGAAAGACAAACAGATTGACATGGTGAATGCAATATAGCCCTCACTTCTAGAGTGAGGATATAAACATTCCTTACATGTTATTATCAAGCTTCATACCAAATATATAATACAAAAGCTGGGTAATATGTTACAAAAACCCTGTTTGATCAGATCAAAGGATGGAGAAATGATTGAAATCAGTACACTGTCACCTTTAAAAGTTCTCACTAAGACAAGTCCCAAGCCCAAATCTCCTGAAAATCAGACTGGAATATTTTATAGTCCAAAAGACTTGCAGAGTCAAGTTATCATAATTTTTCACAAAAAGAGAAATTGTTATTCTTCAAAATTTTGGCTCACCATAGCCATAATGATGAGTAAATGGACTCATTTGTAATAAATTCTTGGAGAGAAGCTTGTCTCTTTGAATGGGAGTATAAATCAAGATACCTGTATTTCTGTAATATCTTTGTACTTCTGGTATAGATGCACTAAATGGTGGAACTGTTTTGGCAAAAAATCATTGATCTCAATATCATCTCTATTGTCCTCCTCAATATTGAACTCTTCAAGTCTTGTCTTTAAACCATTGAAGCATTTGTAGTTTGCTGATTTTCTTAAGGTGTTCCCAGGTTTCTGTAAATAAAAATTGAAACTATTTCAAGATAATTGTTCAAATTGGACACCTGGTATCTATCATTTATTTCTAGTCAAATATTTTATAATATTTTTAAAAATTACAACAAAATAAAATCAGAATTTGTTGTTATGATGGTAAAAACTATTTATATGTTTGAAGTAAGCTATAAATATGTGTTTTCATGTATTGGAATTAATAAACAAGAGTTGTACATACTATATAACTAATTATTCAAAATTTGGAATTGCTTTGTTTTTCAGAGGTCTCTCATAACTTTCTAGAAATTTGAGCATAACAAAAATATTGCTGTCACAAATGCTCTGCTATCATGGTTTTATTTCAGCAGCCACCAAAGTTTTGTCAATGGAATGTCACATTAACTTTTATATGTTTAGAATCAGTACTCATAAACATGATAAATAAAGTAATGTTATAATGTCAATTTTATGTGATATTTGTGATTAAAAATATGCAAAACACCTCATAATAAAAATCATGTCAAATTTCAAAATCATCTCATTATTAAATCAAGCAAACTATCAGAAAATCAGACAAAATGTTTATGGAATCTACTTTTATCTATTTTGTTGTTTTTTTTTTTTTTTTGGGGGGGGGGGGGGGGGGGGATTGTTGCTGTCTCATTAAATATAATCCACATCTTTAATTTAGACAATGAAAAAAAAACTATTTGTACTCTTACATAAAATAAAATATATCCCACCTACTACATTTAAAGTACTAAAGATAATAAATTTGGAATGAAAATAACCGCAGTATATAAAGACTATTCTTAATTCCCTGTAATTTTAGACAGCAAAAGTAAGACTTATATACCACATAAGAAACAAAAACATTTGGACAACTTTTTATCAAAAGAAACTGATTATCTTGTTCTAGAGAAAATTCATACTAAGCTTTGTAAATTTTCACTTGGAGTTAATATAAAAACATCAAATATGGCATGTAGAGGGGAACTAGGTTCACTTCCTACACTTTATTATGTAATTATCAATATGATATAATATTGGATTCATCTTATGAAAGATATTGAACCTTCAAATATTATCCTATGGGAGGCCATAAATCTATCCCATTTATGAACAAACCTAAACAGGAATCTTGGATAGGAAACATTAAACATATATTTAAATTCCTAGATTTAGACTATTTATTTGTATACCAGTCAAACTTTAAACAAAACCATTTATTTTTTAAAAAGTAAAAAGTTCTCCAACAATAAAATTTAAAGAAAATTGGGTAGCTAGTTTAGAAAGCAATTCTGGGAAGTGTACCAATATACAGTCTGACAATAAATTAAGAACTTACAGAAAATTTAAAAATATTTTTATGTTTGAACCATATTTAACAATAAATTCAAAAAAGACAGGCAAATAATTTCAAGATTTAGAACTAGCTGTCATGATCTTGAAATCAAATAAGGGTATTGGTTTAAAAGCTGAAGACAGAAAGTGTAAGATATGTAAGAATGCAGTTGAAGATGAACTACATTTTCTTTTAAAATGTCCTGTTCTAAAAGATACCAGATCTCAACATCTGTCTAATTTAAATTCTAAATTCAAAAAATTTTCAAAGTTATCTGATGAAATGAAATTTGTTTGGATTCTTTCATCTGAAGATTTGTTTGTTACTTCAAACTTATCTAAATTATTGCACTCCCTTTTTGAAGAAAGAAAGAAACTCTTAGAAAATATAAATGTAGTTCGAAAAAAAAGAAGAAAACAAAATATAATAAAATAGATTAGGAGTTGTCTCCCATAGGCCTAGGATTATAAATTGATTGAGAAATGTAATTTCTCCAGGTCACAGTGGCTTCCAAAATAACTTAATGTTTTGTCAATAACATGGTTTATAATTATGTTTCTTTGTTTAAATGTGTATTTATGTTGTTTTTTTTTTTTTTAAATGTACTTTAATCATTCTAATCATTTAGTGTACTTTATTTGTAATTCATTAGATTGTATAGCTCAAATTTTGGGCACCATGATCGGCTAATAAAATTATCTTATGTAAGCTTAAAATTTCTTGAAACCATTGATAATGGTGCCCCCTCCCCTTATTTTGAAGAGGACATTCAAATTATATATTAATCTAATTTATGGTGCAAATAATCAGATTGTTTGCTTCATTGATGGCATTTTCACCTAGCACAAAAATCATTATCAAGAGGATGAACATTTTTTATATTAAATGAATATGAACTGAAATTGAACAAGATTGTTAAGCTGAAGCACATTTTATAATTTTATAAGTCTGGGAGGAGAGAACAGGATTTATTTATTAGATCTTATTGGAATGGAACAAGATTTCGTACTCTTTGAATCAGTACTTTGTACATTTTGCCTTTGTGAAAGTCGTTTTTGAGCTACATTCCAATCAGATGTATTAAGCCTTTTCCAACTGATTTTTTCTATTTGTTTCTAAGATGTGAGGTTACACCAATGTCCCATGTTGGGGGAGGATTAGTCACTCACGAACATATTTAACCACCCACATTTTGTACGTGCAGTGCATGTCCAAAGTCAGGGACCTGTAATTCAATGTCTGTTGTTGGTTGCTGTCTGTCATAATTGTTTTTCCTTTATTGTTTTGTCATAAATTAGGCCATTGGTTTTTTGCTTGAATTGTTTTACATTTTGTAATGTTGGGGCCATTTATAGTTGACCATATATATAGGTATAGATTTTGCTCATTGTTGGAGATCGTATGGTGACTAACTGTTGATTAAATAGGCTTCATTAAGACTCTGTTGGGTAGTTGTATCATTGTCAATCATACCACATCTCCTTATTATATATGTATATGTATTCAGCCTACTACAATTATAGTATACCGGTAGTATTAATAACTTTGGAAGGTAAATAACCGCAGTATATAAAGATTATTAAAAGTCACACTGTTATTTTACAGATTCTAAAATCCTAAATATATGTAATTTGCACATTACATAAAATGTAATTGTTCAGAAGTCTTGTGTGTTATTTTCAATTTTGGTTCATTTGTATGGTTTGGAGTTTAGTGTGGTCTTGGTGTCCATTTCCCTGAACTAAGTTTACATTATTATTAAGGGGCCAGCTGAAGCCTGCCTTTGGTCATGGGATTTTCTCACTGAGTTGAAGACCCATTGGTGGCATTGAGCTGTATTCTGCTCTTTGGTTGGGTTGTTGTCTCTTTAACACATATGCATTCCCTGTTTCCATTCTCTATTCTATATTGTACTTTAAAGTTTAGTACACTTGTGATTTCCTTTATTCCAAACTTAGCATTTCTTACCACTTTTACTATCCCTCTGTTATATTTTAGATTATGAATCAGACTAACAATCTCTTTCCTTTCATCTGTTACTGGATCAGTCACTCTGTCTTTGAGAGGGTATTCAACTGTGAAAAAGTGGACAACACTTAATTATAAGAAACTGACTAACTATTTTTAACACATATTTTACACATGAGTATTAACGTTAGAATATATATGCAAAGCTGAAAATAAATTAAACTGAAAAATCTTATGCAGTTGATTCATTGTTAAATACGGTGTGCATCCTTTACCAATGATGTGGCATTCAGAAATCAATGTATTTAAGGAATGACTGTAATATTTGTTCTGTCTATGAAGAAATAACTTAAAAAAAATGTGGTGCACAATGAATAACCCGTGTAGCGGGTTATTTAAAAGAGTGCACCACATTTTTTAGAATATTTCGAATAGACAGAAATAATATTACAGTCATTCCTTATAATTTAATTTTAATTCAATTTTATGGGAGTAACTTTTGAAAAAAACGTTGGTGACATCACGGTCACCTTACAAATTTATATCTATGAGCTAATAGACAAAACACTTTCAGCCAATCAGAAGACGTGTTACATCCAAAATTAAATTATTATACCAAATAATAACAAGTTTGCCTCATAAAACCAGGAATGGTTAATTTTTGTATGAAAATCAATGTCATGAAACAATACATTCATCTTAATAAGGATGTAGGACAGCAAATTTGAAATCTGTATATCTTCTGCTTAACACCAACATTTTCTTTTAACATGAAAAACTGACATAATTTAGATAAAACCACAGCAAAATTTCACAAAGCTATGGTTATTTGTTCTGTACTATTATTTATTAGTCTGACAGAGTCAAAAGTCTGCCACAGCTTACGTGTGATGACTGGAAACATGGCTTATAATGTTAACCAAGAGCTAGTTGCAATAGTAAAAATGTTTTCTTTAAATTTCTTTGAGGGTGGGGTGGGGTGGGGTGGGGGTAAACGAATCTTTGGGTCTAGAACTTGCATAATATATGGCAAAGACATGGCAATGCTTACCAATTTGTGGTTTTTCATGTAATGGAAGTGCTGGTCTACAAGGCTTGAATGATATCTTTTTGTTCAAAAAACCTTCAGGAATCTTCTGTGGATAAAACTGTTTTTCTGCTATGTTATCAATATCTATGTTGTCATGAGAACCATAGGAAAGGAAAACTTCTCTTTTCTTACTTGGTTTGTACAGTTGGTACTGAAATGATTTGTCAGGAAAATCCATATCACATCTACAAAACAAGCAATTATTTTATTAATCATATAATAGATAAAGGGGGAAAGGTCTATCTAATTCTGGTATATTTATACCAATTCATGTTTAGGAATTAAAAATATATGGGTAAAAATCATCAAGGGCAATGACTTTTATAAGCAGGGGACTGACGATTTCAGATATTTTGACTAATTTGTAGATCTTGTCTTGCTGATCATTTTTTGCGTTAAAATAAAAAGTTTCTACAATGTATTTATCTATTATATTTTTCAAGATCATAAGCAAAATTGCAAAATATTGGTAAATATCGTTACATGTATTTAGAGGCAAAAACTTCTACATGCATGTAGAGAGTCAACTGAGGTTTTCGCCATGCTGACTTAACATGCTTAAGAGTAGAACTTGTCTTGCTGATAATTTTTTCAATTTAAATTTTCGCTCTTTCTATTAAAGAAGATTTTTTGTTAAAATTTAACTGATGAAAACCCATAGTGATGAGAACAGGTCACTAAATTAATAAGCTGTGAGACATCACTGGTTTGATCACTTTTAAATTAGTAAATGGGGTCATGGCACAAGCCAAATTATTTGAAAGTGATTTCCAAGGCCTGCTGCCTCAAACCTATGCATGTTGCTGAGAGATTTTTCTACTAGTACCATGTCATAAAGTACATGTTGTTAGTGTTGGAAGGGGTACCTATGTAGTTTAAACTTTTTGCATACAACATAGGAGAAAGCAAGGAGGGCACTGAATTGGATATAATTGTCTTCTAGAAAACTTTTTTTGTTGAACATCTTCATCTTCCAGGGCTGATTTTAAGGTTTTTGGAGATCTGACATTTAACACCATGAGTGTTGTTGTTTGATTTTTCTTAATCAAGGTTATGTGCAAATTAATCGGGGTAATAAAAATGTTGACATCAAAGAAACATTTAGAAGGGTGAATTAACCTAGTCATCTGGTAATAGTAGATTTTTGGTATCCAGCAGTTATTTAGTCACAGGAAACAACATACCTAAATTTGAAAAGATTTCGTCAAAGCGTTTTCAAGTTATTGCACTGGCACTGTTTGGCAGTAGAAGACCGCCGTACATCACCAAATTAATAACCAATATTTTTCTTTGGAAATCCTGTTAAAAAATAACAATTCACATAGATTTATTTTATTTTAAATTATAAAATCATTCTACATGGAATACCATATACATCTACATATCTTCACAATGTACCTGCATGCTGTCTTGAGCAGAATCAACACAACTTTTGTTTTCTCCATGGCTTAGCATCACAAAGAGTAACAATAGAAAAAATGACGCAATGTGAAGTATAAAGAGAAACCAACTTCACATCACGGGATCTATTAGTAAAAAGTGAGAAATTTGTGTAGAACCGCAATGTAGTTAACATGGTGAAGGAACAAAGAAAAAAATGGAGAATGTGTCCATGGGACACAGATGATGCCCCTGCTTGCATAAAACGTTATAAAGGGACATAACTAGAGAACTGTGAAAGAGATGCCACCCAAATTCTTACTTGATCTGTGTTTTATGTTAATAAGCATTGTGTATAAGTTTCATAACATTTGGTTGAGGGAAACTAAAGTTAGAGAATGGAAATGAAAAATTCAGCAATTTTTCCATTTATAAAGGGGCATAACTCAGGAACGGTAAAAGTGAAGCCACCCAAAGTCGAATTTGATCTGTGTTTTGTGGTAGTAAGCTTTGTGTATAAGTTTCATAACATTTGGTCAAGGGACACTAAAGTCAGAGAACAGGAAACCAACTTCAGGACATATGGACGTACGGACGTACAGACGGACAAGGGTAAACCTTAATGCCGCCTCCGCTATGGCTGAGGCATAAAAATAAATAACAATATTTCCCTTGTCACATTAATTTAAACGAATGGTTTAATTTTATCACCTGCTACATTCAACACAGCCACTTGCAAACCCATTTCCCAATGGGCATCTGGAGATAAGATGTATAATGACATATACAACCTTCAATCAGAGCTTAACGTCTAAAGCAAGAAAATAAGACACTTTTCTGACCACTGTTTGAGTTTTTTCTGCTATATGAATATAGAAGCAGTAACACTTATGCCAATTTCTATACTGTTTCAGAGTGGGATGTTTTTCAGTTTTTTTGTTTGTTTGGGGTTTAATTGGTTGTCGTTAAATAATTTTGTTTCTTTTTGTATGTATTTAGAAGATAACTGTAATCAGCTATTTGTGACATTTAATATTTGCCTTTCGAGTACTTGGCAGAACTCAACCAAGTGGAATTCTCACTTCAACTGTTGATGTCATTTCTGGAGGTTAATAGACGTTATGAGTACAGAACTTGACTTTCTCATCCACTGGCCTGGTATCTAACCTACTAAATGTAACTCTTTCAGTTTTGTTTTTTTTACAATTTCGGTATCAAATCAGTCCATTGGTCAAAATATAATACCTCTATAATTGAAAATTTATTATATTTTTTTAAAGGTTCACTGTTAATACATCATATACTTTAAGTAATTTTGTGAATGGATACTAAGCTTTTACCAAGACTTCCAAAGAATTTGAAAGGTATTTACAAAGTTTATAAATGTATGATGACATATACTACTGCATAAATAAAAGAGATATACATGTATTTTAATGTTAACATTTTAACAGAATTTCAATTTCACCAAAATCATCAGATTATCTTAATTTTCCATAAAGATATTAATATTTGTATGCAGTATACCAATTATTAATAAAAAGAAAATAACGGTAGTTTAAATAGATATTTTAATAAATGTTAAAAGATTTTATCTTTTTCACACCTTTTGTCACCTGTCAGATACGAAATTTGTATTGCAAGGTTCCATAATTATAAGTTACCCTTGGTTATAGAGTGATCAGCGTATCTAAGGAAAAGCTTCACCTACAGTGATACACGGATGCTGTATTTGAGCTGCTACGTCACACCTTTGATTTTATCAGAGACATATATTACATATAATAACATGTATTATATGTCTCTGTTTTTATGCATAGATTATTATGTTTTAATTAAATTCAGTTACTTTCACACCAGAAATTATGCTGGGAATTTTTTTTAAATGAATATTTATATATATAAATCTGCTGTTAATGGGATATTGTGAAGTATTCTAAAGGTTTTCTGACTTCTTCCCCTTTCACAGGTAACACCTGCCTTATATTACTATTACAAGCTACTCCTTCCCTTGAGCTTATGATTATATTTTGATTAAAAACCTGAAGAAAAAGAGTAAAAAGTTGGATGCGATTCTTGGCTGTATGAACCGGGTACAAGTAAAATCGACACCTGGTCAATTTGGCACCTATAGAAAAAGTCAAATCAGCACCTGGTTAAATTGGCATCTAGTCAAATCGGCACCTACTTAAAGTCACTTTGGCATTTGGTTATTCAACTGGCACCTAATATAATTTCTACTGTTTTCTTTCCTTTTTAATTGAGAATAGTTTTTCTGTTTTTTTTTTTTTAAATATATCTATTTTTGCTTAATAAAAATTATTAATCAGTTGCTTTCTGTTTGGAGTTTTCTCAACATTCTATTAATAATGTTTAGATTCATGGTTATCACTTTAAAAAATTATGAATTTATATCAATTACAAACAATAACCTGTTTGTTGTTTTAACAAATTCTAGGTAGTTTTTGATCATATATAATTAAAAAAAAAATAAACAAAGAAGCCATTATCGGGCTGATGTTTAATCCACAGATGAGGATAAAAACTAATTTAATCATTGAAATTTAAATTGTTTCATTTTCTGCATTTCTTGTCTGTTTTAAATGAATAACATTGGCACCAATCGTGTAGCCCATGTTTACCAGTAATGTGAAGTTGTCATGAAAAAGAGGTTCCTTTAATGCTCTTATAATTATAAGTTCCAATAGGAACAATTATTTCATGGCCCCATTGTTTATAACAAAGTTTCAATTGGAACTTCTGTTATGCAAACAAATATACTTCAGACACCTCGAGTGAAAATATTTTAAAAAAGTTATGGGAAAAAAAGAAGTCTTCAATAGTTCAAGGATTTGTATATGAATAGTTCACTTAATCAGGTTGGGCTCAAGTCAGGAAAAGTGGGGTATTCCCTGTTTTCAGAGTTCACCCCAGTTTTCTGGTGTTAAAAAACCCCAGTATACAGGGACTTTTTTTTCCTTTTCAATTTATGGTATGAAATCTACAAAAGCGCACCTTCTACATGTGATAACAATGTTTTATGATAGCAAGTGTTATTATTAGTTCAAAAATTAAGCTAATGTCAAGTCTAATTTGATGCTCAACTCACAATAAAACAATTCCTTTGTTCACCAATTCATACATTGATCACCAATTATGAGATGACAATAAGGTAAGTTAATCACTTGGGAATTTAAATTCAATGAATAGAAATTTTCAATAGAAGTGAACATAATTCAGTTATGGTCGGTTACACCTGGAGCATGTACATGTAGCTTGGTCATTTGATTCCTAAACAAAAGATTTGTATGTTTTTGAGTTATAGAAAAAACAAGGCTTCACTCATTCATGTTTGGTTGTTCCTGAAATACTTTAAGTATTTACAAATACTACTGATACAGTTAAAATGTGCGCTTTTGTAAATTTCACTATAAATTGAAATAATAAAAGGAAGTCCCCGTAAACTGGGGTTTTTTAACACCAGAAAACTGGGGTGTTCCCTGAAAACAGGGAATACCCCACTTTTCCTGACTTGTCCCCAACCTGTTAATTGGAAACATAATGTTAATTCTAGGTGCCGAAATAACTACCTCGGGTGCCGAATTAACCAGGTCCAAATTTGACTAGGTGCCGAATTGACTATCACGGGTGCCGATTTGACCAGGTGCCGAAGTGACTAGAATTGGTCAGAATTCGTATGAACCTGATACTGGAATAATTTTCATCTGTTCAAAAATCACTATGATCCGTCTATAGTATACCACAAAAAGGTGCATGTGTGACGGATTAAACTTAAGTGGAAGCAGTTAAAAAAAGTGCATACTTTTTCTTTATTTCATTATCCTTACTCTGCTGTTTTCATTTAAACATGCAGAAAGGCTGGGAATTGTTTTTCATGGGCGCCGCCATTTTCCCGGGATCCCTTAGTTTCGAAATTTTGTAATAAGTAAACATAGCAATCATTCAATTACATGTCTAATTGATTTTCTTATAATGCTTACATTATGTTATTGATACATTTTCGCATCTTATTGTATGTATTTAATGCAGATAACAAAAGGATAATGACTGATAAATCTGGTACCGTGAAGTCTCCCTGAACAGTACCAAGGGAAATAATCTAAGAAATACAAAACACCACCAGACTCACAAGCGAGAAGCTGTAACTATGAAAGTGACTGTAAAAAGCAAGTTTTTCAATACTTAATTAGAATACTGAACAACCAATAAGGCACTAGAACTAGGCAGTTTTAACAGGGTCATAATCATGGATTAATTGAGTCAAGGATTTTATTCTTTAATGCCATTAATAAATTAAATAATGGTCATATTTCTACCTATAAAAATCTTATGTGTATCTGTAAAATTTTGAAGTCACAATAGAAAATATCAGACGCCACAATGAAAAAGTGATTGTATGACCTGCGCAGATTTCCAAATAGCGACAAGGTGTATTGGAAAGTACTTATTTATTTGGTAGCTAGTCATTTAATAGGTCCGAGTACACAGTTATTTCGTAGTGCATTTCTTTTAGACAATAAATGAAAATTAAAAAAATCCCACCTGCGCTTTCTCAATAATATTTTTACAGTGTGTTGTACTACTTTTGGGACAAATTATATCAAAATTATAGAAAACTTCATCGGCTCTAACTCAAAATATGGACAATTTCATGCTAAGGGGGTCTTCAAATCTTTTGACAGCTTCCGATGTGCTAATTTTTAACATTTTTCAGCTGGACCAAATCACTACTTTACTTTAAAATTCATGACCCAAATTTTTTTACAGTGTCATTTCACCCCCCCTACTTACTATTTGAGTCATAAAACATGGAGAAATAAATTCGGAAGGGGTATAAAAAAAATCGACAAGTAACACACTGTCCACACTAGGGACTATATTCGTGGACAACGAAAATCAAAGGACGATAACTGTGTACCCGGACCTAATAGGGTAGAAAAAGTTGACCAATCTTAATGAAACTTGGTATGACTAAAGCTTATTAAATTATAAGACTGCTTACAAAGTTTCATGGCAATAGGATATATATTATAGACAATATGACTAATTCTATATTGAACTTTGAGTGTTAAATTTAGACGTTAAAATTGAAAATTTTCAACTATTAACATTTGGGGCTTAAAAAATTAAAATATTGCAAAAAAATTCTTTTGAAATGCCTTAATATATAATATATTATGTATTAAAAGCAATAGAGTACTCATTTGATTTATCAGACTTATCATAATTATTAAAAAGTCAAATTTATATGAGCCTGTGGCTAAAAATGGAGGTTTTCCAATGAAGGGGGGCCTTACATGAAGATGTAATATTTTCCAGCAATTTTAAATTTGTAAAGCTTTTTGGTTATAAATAATCCTTACATATGTATTTAATGTACTTTAAATGGAAAGAAAACTTACAAATAACATATCACATTAGTTTAAAAGGGTCTTAGGCCAAGTAAGACTGAAAATAATTTAGGGTCAATTTAGGCCGTATCACATATTTACATTTAAAAATGCATATTGAAGCTATATGAAATAAAATTTTGTGTCTTTTCTATCATTTCTATACTCAGGTGACATGATACAATAAATCTGAGCATAAAAAGACTCTTGCATTCAACTTTTTTTGCAGACAGTATGGTCTGATACAAAGATTTTTCACTTTTTAGTGAAAAACATGCATGCAATTTTAGTCTCAACAGGCTTATATTTGAACCACTTGCTATCCTACAGAAGAAAAGAAAGATATTATGAGACATAAAACAGGTACAAAAGACATTGTTAAGTGCTTTTTATACAAATTTAATGAGGTCTTTATAATGGACTTCAACTTTTATGTTCCAAGCTCCTCACATTTAACTTGATCCAAACAGGGCGTTAGACGTGGATCATATATACAACACATTTTGCGCATATTGTCTGAGATAATCTTCTTTTCTGTAGATTCAGAGTTCACAAATGAGTAATACAACTGGATTGAAGCATAGAAACACAAATATTGACACATAAAAACCTGTCAGATAGAAAGTCAGAATGCCACTTATGCATCAAAATTGAAAAAGCTATGAAATGCTTATTTTGACCATAAAATGCCAAAATTGGTCATTTTTGCAGAAATTCTATCAAATAAAAGTTTAAATCCTTTAGTTTTATGCTATTTGATAAATTGACACCATCAAATCATTCAGGGAAGTTGCCAAAGTACAGATTCTATATTTCCTGATTTCACCTCTTAGGTCCGAGTACACAGTTATTTCGTAGTGCATTTCTTTTAGACAATAAATGAAAATTAAAAAAATCCCACCTGCGCTTTCTCAATAATATTTTTACAGTGTGTTGTACTACTTTTGGGACAAATTATATCAAAATTATAGAAAACTTCATCGGCTCTAACTCAAAATATGGACAATTTCATGCTAAGGGGGTCTTCAAATCTTTTGACAGCTTCCGATGTGCTAATTTTTAACATTTTTCAGCTGGACCAAATCACTACTTTACTTTAAAATTCATGACCCAAATTTTTTTACAGTGTCATTTCACCCCCCCTACTTACTATTTGAGTCATAAAACATGGAGAAATAAATTCGGAAGGGGTATAAAAAAAATCGACAAGTAACACACTGTCCACACTAGGGACTATATTCGTGGACAACGAAAATCAAAGGACGATAACTGTGTACCCGGACCAATACCTTGACAATTTCGTACCCAAAATTGCCACTTCTTTCCCAACATTTACCATTTCATACCCATAATCATGATAATCAAAACCATTTCGTACTATATCATGTCTATCAGCCTGAGGTCAGGAATAGAAAATATCTGACGCCACAATGAAGAGGCGCAGATTCTCTGGTCTAGCAGCGCAGATTTCCAAATAGCGATAAGGTCTATTAATTGGTGAATTATATGTCAATTCACATGATTAAGGTATAATCCACCATTTGACATACATTTTTTTTGTATTGATAGACCTATTGAGGTATAATTCAGTTTTTATCACAATTTTTTTTAAAGAGATGTTCGAGCATCTTTTTGCATGTTCAGTACCATCTTAAGCTTTGATGAGTTCTCATTTGTTACATGTAATTGATTCCGACTTCCTGTGCTGCATTTTGTGAAAATGTGGATTACAATTGTTTGCACCTGTCCTAAGTCAGGAATCTGATCATGTTCAGTAGCTGTCGTTTGTTGATGTGGTTCTTAAGTGTTTCTCGTTTCTCGTTTTTTATATAGATTAGACCGTTGGTTTTACACTAGTAATTTTTGGGGCCCTTTATAGCTTGCTTTCGGTGTGAGCCAAGACTCCGTGTTGAAGACCGTACTTTGACCTATAATGGTTTACTGTTATAAATTTTGACTTGGATGGAGAGTTGTCTCATTGGCACTCATACCACATCTTCTTATATCTATATACCTCAATTGAAATTGAGGTATAATCCACAATTGATGGATATTCATGACTGGTTTCATTAAGTCTGCATCAGTTCCAACTTTAAAGATTTGTTAGTCAAAATGGACAGGAAGAATACAGAACAAAAATAAGATCTAATAGGTGAAAACTGAGAATTTAAAAGTAGGAAAAGGAGGGTTTTGTTAGTTTTTGGGTTTCTATAACAAATTGCAGCACGAAGTGTCAGAATCAATAACATGTCATCACTCAGTGGTCATCAAAGCTTGTTATGGTAAATGCAAAAAGATGCTAAAATATCTCTTTTAAAATTTTTTTTTATAAAAACTGCATTATACCTCAATTGGTGTATCTCATTATATGTCAAATGGTGGATTATACCTGAATATAGGTATAATCCACCAATTTATGGTTATTCCTGACCTGTCTATGGGCCAACTGCATTTACCATTTTGACTTTTGTACTTAATGGGCCAACTGCATTAACCATTTTGTACTTCATAGACTAAATACACAATTACTATTTCGTATCATATATTTTCAAATCGTTGAAATTTTGTACATTGGTATCAAAGATTTTGTAAAACAAAAACAAAAAAAGTTTGTGTAAGAATTTGCACATTATGTGACCAAGTTGGGATCAAGGATTTTTGAAAGGGGGTGTAATTCCATAAAAAAAATGAAATTTTGGAGGATTTAATGCTAAAAAACATTATATATTTTCCTATCAAAGGATTATATTGGTTGAGGGTTGATACTGTGTGTGATATTGATAAAGCCATATCATATACACTTTATTATATACATCTACCTCAAGTACAACTAATCTCTCCTTAGATATTTTTCACGAGTCGTGACATAATACATATTTGGTTGAAAAACCTTTGTAACCTTGACTGATATTGATTATGTGACGTCATACAGATTAGGGTTTTGATAAAGCCTTTGCAACCGTGACTGATATCGATATCATCACGGATGGCGGATACAACATTGTCATCAATTGTATTACGCATACAATTTACCTATATTTACTACTAAGTATATAATAAATAGAAATATTCCAATCATGACTATCTGGATCAGTATATCTAATACAGTTTGATTCCAATCCCTACCATGCCATAAAATATTTGGATTAAGATGACATTCTTTTACGTCATTTTAGTTTTTGTTTGGCATAACATGTATGCCAGTTAGCTGAGCATAGGGATTCAATGCTGTAGATGTAGATGTAAATAAGAATATAGAGATATTAGTAAGATTTAGAACATATACATGCACAATCTCCCTGCTAGTTTAAGGAAGCAGGTATCCAGATTGCCCATAAAAGACGTGCAAAAAATGTAATAGAAACAGTGTATAGAAAAATAGTATTATGGTACTCATGTTTTAAAATGAAAATGATATGAATCTATTGTGTTCAAGCTTATAACTCATATACTAGGCTATATATAAGCTTGGTTGAGTTGTAAAAATTTATCTCCGATATTTTTTTAATGAAATTGTGATTTCTTTATTAATACATAGAACTTTATACATAATAATGTAACATAGCGTCAATTTCTTGAATATTTCTACATTCAAATGACATCTGCAAAGTTTAAGATTGTACCGAAATTGTAATGTAAGTAAGAAACTGAAATTTCATTAAAAAAATTTGCAAAGGGAGATAATTTTTGTAGCCCTGTGAGCTTAGTTTTAATGTTTGAATTGTTTTACATTTTTCATTTCGGTACCTTATATAGCTGCGGTATGGGTTTTGCTCATTGTTGAAGGCTGTACAGTCCCTTTAGTTGTTAATTTATGTGACATTTGGTCTCTAGTGGAGAGTTGTCTCATTGGCAATAATACCACATTTTCTTATTTTTATAGTAGACAATAAGTGCATGTAGAAAATATACTGAAGGGTCAATTGAGGTCATATATCAAAAAGTTTTTCTTTGACTTATGGTTTTTAATTGCCCCTTGGTACATTTATCTTTTTTTAGTTTGTTTCTGTTAAAAATTGAATGTTCATCAAACACACAAGCTTGAAATGCACCATGAATATATAACAAGTGTAAATGTGTATTATTTGAAATGATCTTTTTTTGTTAAATTGTTTTAACTCACCTGGCTTGGCCTTATGGAAGTTATTGCCCTTAATTTTCATGATTTTGTCTATTTATATTTCAAAAACTTCTAAAGAGACAGAAACTGAAAACAGCATTATAAATGTATATTATACAACTACCTTTATGTTATATCATGTTTATTTTATTTCTTTTTCATATTTGATTCTGCTTCATTTGACTGTTTAACTTTCAGGGTAAGTATTTATATATGATATTTTTTATCAAAATATGAATCTGAATACTAAGTTTAATAAATCATTTAAAAAAATATGTGGGTTGACTGGTATTGTAATTTATTATCTTTAATGGTTGCTGTCAGACTTGTATTATTGACCTATTCCAAACAGTTATATACATGTATACAAGTTGATATACTTACATATATTGAAAATAAGGAGAAGTGGTATGATATCCAATGAAATAACTATCCACAAGAGACCAATAGTGGTTATTCTTTTATCCCCCCCCCCCAAACCCTGTATATTAGTAGCAATCTAAAATTTGCATCTGGATAATCTGATGTGAAATATCACAAAGAAAAAGCTCTGATTATTAACTCAAACAATTTGGTTAACAAATTTCCCATAAAACATTTTCAAGTCTTAAACTCTTTAACTGTTAATCACGAGATAAAGAAGCCATGAACCAAACCTTATTCAATAAACAACAAATATTTGCAGTTACATGTAAGAATAAAAATTCAAACATTTATATGATCATGTGTATTTATTGATAGTTGGACAGCTGTAGCTACATGGAGATGGGTTGCTAATGATGAGAATTGTGGGATATGTAGGATGGCTTTTGATGGCTGTTGTCCAGACTGCAAGCTACCTGGAGATGACTGTCCCTTAGGTAAATTACTGATACTAATATATAAAGATAAGGAGCAAAGTTCTAAAGGTCACTGCAAGGCATTATGTTTACAAAAGTTGTACAAATCATATGTATAACTGAAAAGAAATACTAACCTTCAAATGTGTTAAGCAACAGCTTGCTAAGTGTCTTTTTGTTATTGCATTTTTTATTGCATCATTTGTTTCAACAAAAACACAACATTCAAATGGAGAAAATGGAAAACTGTTGGAGATAATTTTATGCTATTGAAATTATAACTATATACATCTTGGAGACATGAGTGGTGTAGTATGATAAACTCATCATAGATACCAGACTTAAAATTTTGTACGCCAGGCGCGTGTTTCGACTACAAAAGATTCATCAGTGATGCTTGAATCAAAAGAGTTAAAAAGTATGAAGTTGAAGAGCATTGAGGACCCAAAATTCCGAAAGGTTTTCCCAAACACAGCTAAGGTAATCTTTTCCTGGGGTAGAAAATTCTTAGTATTTCGAAACATTCTAAGTTTTGTAATTTTTTATAAATTTGTACTCATGATATTGTTTGGTACATAAATTTTTATGAGAAATTATTAAGCTTTCATTATTTCTGTAATGACTAATTCATATCTTACTTTTTTTTCAGTTTGGGGAGAGTGTTCTCACTGTTTCCATATCCATTGTATTATGAAATGGTTGAACTCCCAGCAGGTTAATCAACTGTGTCCAATGTGTCGACAGGAATGGAAGTTTAAAGAATGACTATACAAGACTTATACATGTGATGAACTATGTATACATTATTATATACAAGAAATGATATTTTTTGTACAGAATGCACTCCAAGTCAGACTGACTGTACAGCAGTTACATCAAACACATTTTGATGAAGTCATTTTAAAATCATATGTTTTACATATAATTGTGAAGAGAACTGAAAAATAGTATTTAAAACTGTGATATTACCTTATTGTGTTCAAAGCTATTGTATGCTATGTATTTTAAGAATAATAAATTGTCAGATATGTGGCATTACAATTTTTCATTTTTACTATGGTATTTAATCATTCACATTTCATGTATGTTTCATAGTGTAGGTTAGATATACATAGATATAGTTACACAATATCATAAGGATCATTATTTTTTTAGGATGTACTTAAAATATGTTGTTTAACAATCAAAAAGTAACTACAAATTATCAAAAGTCAGGAACAATCAACAAGTAACTGACAAAATCAATATCAAATGTCAGGAACAATCAACAAGGCACTGACAAAATTTATGTCAAAAGTCAGGAACAATCAACTAGTAACTGACAAAACCAATATCAAAAGTCAGGAACAATCAACTAGTAACTGACAAAACCAATATCAAAAGTCAGGAACAATCAACTAGTAACTGACAAAACCAATATCAAAAGTCAGGAACAATCAACTAGTAACTGAAAAATCTGTCAAAAGTCAGGGACAATCAACAAGGCACTGACAAAATCTATGTCAAAAGTCAGGAACAATTAAAAATGTTACTGACAAAATCTATAGTCTAGAATCTAGAAGTCCACAATAATCAACAATAATCGACAAACTCAATAACAACCAACAAGTAATTTGTAAACTCTATAGCTAAAGCCAGGAACAATCAACAGATTTTTTATGCCCCCCGCTACTGAAAAGTGGGGAGGGGGCATATTGTTTTACCCCTGTCCGTCGGTCCGTCCGTCCCATTATGGGTATATAGCTATTCCAGATAACTCCTCCTACAGTTTGAATGCTAGGAAGTTTTCATTTTGCTGGCTGTTTGTATATATATTGAAGGTGTGGATGTGGTCAGGGTTTTGATATTTATTAATATTTGCTCTTTTGGGAGATAGTTGAACTTTGTCATTTTTTAGAGTATTTACTTGCATAAGAGGTGCATACTGTTTCTGGATAACTCCTCCTACAGTCGTCCTAGACCTATGTGCTCCAATTCTCACTTTGTAGTTTTGTTTTTGTATAATTTAATGCTTAATAGACTTGGTTTTTGACAGTCAACATTTCACTTTTACACTATTCACCTGCAGTGATGACATTATTTTTTTTAGAGGGGGGGGAGGGGGTCTTTGATGTTTATCTTTATTTAGAAATAAAACCATGAAATGACAATATGTCTTAACATTCTTTATAGAGGCTACTTAAAACTCACAATGCCAATTATTACCAATTACAAGGAATATTGCCCAAACTATAAATACCTATCGGTAGATTATTTTTCACCTGGGTTTTCTCATCCTGCTCATACTTTGCCAACCCTGCCTTTATAAAAATTCCTGTTTTATATTAACCATTTTTATTCACATTTGTAGTTTCAGAGTTATTGCACTTTGATAGAAATATTCAAAAAAAATACTAAATCTGTATGAAAATCTAAACCAACTGTTACTTTGTGAGAGCAACCTGTTCATTGGAACCAATTTAAGAGCCTATGAATTATTTGAGTGATTGTTGTTTGCTAAAGGTTTAGAACACAAACAATTAGTCGTTAATATAAAAAACAGATTTTACGAAATTGATTGACTGGCCTGATTAGGATGAGTGACGAAAATAAAAAAAAACACAGGGTGAAAAGGTATATTGATAAATTCACAGTATTCACTTGTAACTGGACACCTACATACCCCTGGGAGAGTTGTAGAAATGTTTTTTTGTGTTCAGATTGTAATAATACACCTCTTTTTAGCATTGATTTTACTGCCAGATTGGAAAAGTAATGGCTTTTTCATTAGCATTGTTTTATTTAAGTTTTCAGTTGAACTTTGTCTTATACAGACAACTCCTTCCTGCAAAGTTAACCTTATACAATTTTGGCAATTCTTTTTAGGTTTTTTATCCCTATGCATTTATGCATAATCCTATTAATGGTTCTCTACAAGTTTTGCTCAGAGCATTTTGTTAAAAGGTAAATTAAGAAGAAAATGACACTTTGAATGCACAGAAATATTCTTCATGCTGACTTGGACCAATAATCATGTATTAGTGCTAGACACTGGTAATAATAAGGTTTATTTATCTGCATCCATATAAGCACAGAAGACCTAAGTCTGGTAATCTTTAATCAAGTAAGGAATTTCAAGTCTACAGTAATTTGGTTAAGGTCGACATATGATAAAATCTTTTTTTATTTATAATATATAAACAAAATGGTATCTCAAGCATGCAGCAATGCACACTCAAATTTAAGAACAGTTTGTCTTTAATCTTATATTATTCACAATAGTGTTAAGACACAAGTAAAAAAAGAGATGCAAAACAAAGAAAAGCTGACAGGGAAGCAAAGGGTAGTTCAGGCGCGTAGCTGCCTTTACGCAAAAAATCATTTGCTTGCACATTTTTTTCACCAAAAAAAAAAAAAATCTGAAATTGAATTACGGATAGTCTTTAGTCTTTACAGATTATCGTGTCGGGCGGTGTTTAAAGCCCAAATCTCTGATGTCGTCTGTAGCAGTGACTAATAAGGAACTATATATCCTTCAATATTCGCAATCTTCTCAATTCTAGTTACAATGCCAGTAACTACATCAACTACTGAACGGTCATTTAGTGCATTAAGGCGACCGAAAACTTATCTCCGTTCAACCATGGTACAGGACAGACTATCTTCGTTGGCGCTCATACATGTTCACAAAGAAATGGATATCAACACCGAGAGAGTTCTGCGATCATTTGCCTTGGCAAAAAATAGATATATGGACTTTCGATATTAACTATATTTTAAGTCTTACATGCAGTATTAACATTTAATTATACAGGCTCAATACAATCACCTTGAAAACATCTTAGATTTATATCCCTTACTTATAGGTCAAGACTTAAAATTAAAGTGGCCGTTAGATTTCGTATTCCCATTGTCCGTTCGTCCAAAAGACTATTGATTCACCTGGGGTATCTGTGTCCCAAATGACCTTCTACCGTTGTCGTAGAAACCTCTCCTTTGATTTGAGAATGAGCTTCGTGAGACACACTACGGGTGTCTTGCAAGAAGCAGGAACTGCTTACCCTTTTGGAGCACCGGAGGTCGCCACATTGTTTTCTGGGTCCGTGTTTTTCATCTGTATTTAGTTTTCAATGTTGAATGTTTTTGTTTCTCATTTTGTGTCTTATCTGTTCCCGGGTTTGTCAATTGTCCATTGATTAATGCTTCGGTTGTCGACTCTTCCTGATCTTCCCGTTTTATAATTTTTTTTTTATATTTGAAAATAACCATGTTAATAATATAAGCAGCAAATTACGGAACTCACTAGACTTTTACTATCGTTTCATGAAAATATGGTATAGTAAAAAACAGATAGGGTATTTTTCATGTTCAAAGCAGTCACTGTAATTACTCATATGCCCGGAGCTTCATGGGGATTCGCTTCCCTGGACCACCGTTTACGGTGCTGCCCTGGATCCCCGACTAGGGTGCTACCCTTGACCAGCTGGGGACTTTGAGCGGTCCATAGCCTCCTCCCTTGCCGAATCACTATAAAGTCCACAAGTATTCACAAAACAGGAGTTTGGGCGTGAATGTGATGTGAATTTCATAAGCATGGCATACCGGGAAATGCCCGAAAAAAGTTATAATTTTCTGCATAAAATGGTCCAAAAAAACTTTTCGCCTCGCTTCGCTCGGCGATAGTTATGATTGCACTTTATGTAAGTCCAGCTACGCCCCTGTGTGTATTGCACTTTGCACATCAGATAACAATAAATCAAACTCTTGTATTTCAAATTAGTTGACTAGTGTAAAAAGCTTTGACAACAGTAAATAATCTACTAGACTTGTATTTTTACAAGTAGTTCTACTAACACCTTTATCTACACCAATACGGGAATTAGCAATATATATACATATTCATTTTTTTACAGCAATTAAGTAATTTATACCCATAAGTATTAGGTTGACAACTACACTGTGTCACTCTTTGTAATGGAATATTATAAGACTTAAGATTTTCTTAATCTAACATATATATGAAATAATTTCGTTGTCAGTGTCTAAGTGAAATAGATCTAACAGAGTTTCATCAGCTAATACAAAATCATTCAAAATACCTGTCTTTGTGTGTACATCTGATACTTTCTTAAAAGACATCAATTCATTCTCAATTTCATCAAAAGCTTCTAAATTTGAATATTTCGAACCTTCAGGTGGTATATAAATGATAAATACAATTACTTCATTTTGCAAACCAAAAATGTTTTTGATACTTTCAATCACTGTACAAATTGACTTTCACTCAATATAAATGCTAAACTTGTTTCTAAGTTTTTCTTGTAAATAACTGCTATACCACCTGATTTTTTACACATTTTTTTCTATTCTTTGTAACATATGTATAATCTTTTGGAACATCAAAGACATTTAGATTATCAAGTTTGCTTTCTACAAATATTGAAATATCATAGTTTTGTATAATTATTATCTGTAAATTCTTTAAATTTCAACTTAGATTTAAGTCCACAAACATTTAAGAAAAATATCTTAAGATCATTATTTACACATTGATTGTTTTTATGTTTGTCTTTGTTCTCAGTTTCACTACTCTGTTCTCTTGTACATCTGTCTTATTCACCATTACCATGATCCATTGCTACAGGAGGTGGAGGATCTTGACTAGATGTCCTAGAATAACAGCGTTTTTTGTCTATATATAGGCTGTCCTCCTTTAGAACTGCCTCGTGTCCTTTACGGCTCGGGCATCCTTCAGTATGGGAACTAGTTCTCTTCTAGGCTCAATGATTTCAATGGAATACTGTATATGAACAACAAATTGCTTTTTGTTTTTCAGTTTTTGAATTGCAGTACTTAACACCATATTCCTGTCTTTTCGTCACTCAAAGGACAAGGTACGATAAGGCCCCATTTTTGGCCCCCCTATTTTCTCATTTTGTAAATTTTGTTTTGGAAAGCTACTTATCACGTTTAAATATTCCCTTAGGTTTGAAGTTTGTTTGGATGAACTTCAAAACCATTAATTTCAAAAAAAATGGTGAGTTGAGGGGGGTAAAAGGGCATCAGAACGTCAAA